GCCTTCACTATCATGCTCCAGCTGCTCATGTAGTGCACTGTTTCCTATCACTGTCATCATGTCCCAGGCTCGCTTCCTTCACTGTCATTCATTGTCCAGGCTGCCCTTCATACTAGTGCTACTGCTTCCTTCACTGTCATGTCCCGTGCCACCTGGATATGCTTCCTAACAGAAGCTGCCAGCTGCCCATCTTCTCACTCGCTTCCTGCTGCCAGTCTGTAACCTTATGAACGGGCAGACAACAGCGCTGGTACCAAACGCGGAATAAAACAATCAAGATCTCACATGATATCATTACTATTTGTGTGCCAATGAACACCTCATCAAAAGAGTCACACCTGTTGCCTAGGCTTACACATTTAAACTGGCCCACTGCTATTGCTGCGGCACAGCTCGACCTTTCAGCAAATACTAGAAGCTAACGAGTGCAGCCAACACCCCGCCAGTGCCCGACAAAGCCTTTTTGACCAACAGCATTCGTGTACTAACAAGTATATAGAAAATCAACTGCTTGCAATAACAAACACTTACTCTACATCTGCCCAATCTTTCAACGTAGGTGGAAGCCTCACGTGCAACGGGAAGTCAACTGCAAACAGGTAAACAGCTACATTGCAATAAACCAATTCTGGGTTCACAAAAATCTGAAGCAATAATAGATGGGACGCTAGAGCATTCACTGTCACGAGTTTATACGTTCACTTCGATGTAAACGTGCGCGCGACTATTACTTCCATGTTAATGAGACAGGGGGTTCATATATACTTACTTTCTGTGTACAATATGACATGAAATTTTACTTAATCTACGTACATGGCGGCCAACTTACTAGTTCTACGTACCAATATAGCCATGGGCAATTTCACTTACTATTCTATGATCATATGGCATGGCATTTCATTTATTCTTCTACGTAAATATGGCAGGAGTTTACTTAACTTCTATGTACCATAATCTGATTGCACTTTAGTAAGCATAGTCCTGTAACGCGAGGACCCTTAGCCGTTTTCAAACTCACAGTATTATCTTATGCCGACAGAGTTAAAAGAAAAGCGTTAAAAGTTAGCTAAAGATGAGGTTAGCCTCCACTTTAAGTAAGAATTAGGTTAGCTGCACTGAGCGTTCTGGCTACGACATGGGTGATTCTTGGATTTCTATTCAAAGTCTTCAAATTTCTTCTTACTTTTTAGTCACTTCATGGCCAATTTCGATAATGGATTTTGATAAGATAACGGTATAAGCCATTACATCAAAAAATGGGGCCATAGTGGAGGGAGATTAATAATGACACTGATTGCAAGGCATCAATTGAAGCTCATTTCAGATGATAGAGGTTAAGATACGGACCGAGTTAGATGCTAATGTTATTTATTGTAGTCTTGTTCGGATATTTTTGTTTCTAAAAAAGCGTGCGTAGCCTGCCAGCCCAGCATTTTTAAGTGCAAATTATAGAATTAAAATAGCTTTCGATAAAAAATTGTGAGCCTACTTGAAAAGTATGAACCTATTGTAAACTAGGTAAATATTCTTCTTTATTTACATCGGCTACATAGTGAATTTTAACGCTCAATTAAGATAGTAAATAGGGAAATCTGGCCTACTTATACCCGTATGCTCCTATGTAAGGTGATGGACTACGACAAGATACTGCTGTAAGTGACTGTGAAGCTGTAACTGCAGCATGCCAGTGATAAGCTATAGAGTGGATAATCACAAGGACATTAGTTGTAAGGATCTTGCTATGAAAACTAGAACTGCAGCATGCCCCAGTGATAGGTATAGCTGATAATCACAAGGATATTGCTGTAAGCGGTCTGCTGAAGCTGTAACTGACAGCATGGCAGTGATAGGTTATTAGGTGATAAATCACCAAGGATATGGTGGTAAGCGTCTGTGAAGCATGTAAACTGGCAAGCCATGGCAGTGATAAGTATAGGCTGATAATCACAAGGATTATTGCTGATAAGCATCTGCCTGAAGCTGTAACTGCCAGCATGGCAAGTGATAGCGTATAGCTTTGATGAACAACAAGGATATTGCTTGTAAGGCATCTTGTAAACTGTAACTGCAGCATGGCAGTGATAGGTATAGCCTGATAATCACAAGGATACTGCTGTAAGGTGACTGTGAAAGCTGTAAACTGCCCCAGCATGGCAGTGATAAGTAATAGGTGATAATCACAAGATATTGCCTGCTAGCGTCTAGTGAAGTTGTAACTGCGCAGCATGGCAGTGATTAGCTGGATATAGCTAGATGAACAACGCAACAAGCGACATTGTTTTAAGCATCTGTGAAGCTCTGTAACTGCAGCATGGGCCAGTGATAGCTATAGCTGATTGACAACACAGGACATTGTTACTGTAAGCGTCTGTGAAAACGGATAGCAAATTAACTTTATTGAACAAGGCGAATACAACAGAGTCCGCCAGCAAAATAGAGTCCGCCGCAGTTCTGAGTTATCAAAATTCAAAAGATAATTAACAAATAACGCATGTGCTATTTTTAAGATTTCATGCAGTGCACAGTCTGGGCCCGAAATTTTCGTTGGACGATATAGCGCTAAAAAATTCAGTAATTCAGCGAGGACGTTCTCCGGATAACTATTAAGGTATGGCCAGACTTTGCAGGGAGTCACACGACTCCTGCATATGCTCAAGACCAGGCAGTCGACAGTAAATCAGGCAGTATTTTGACTTCCGGCACTCCCGTTAATTTCGCACACCTGCTAAGCTATAGAGGCCATGAATAAAAATGTTGTTTGGTTTGCCCTCACCCGGCACCGACTCGCCGCCAAAGAAGGGCCGACTCTCAAACATTTTTATTTATTTTTCACATTCTTTTTTTTTACAAAATTGTATCACTTACATTATAATAAATCTGCGGCAACTACATTAATATGTACACAAGCAAAACAAACACTCAACAAGTAAAGCTATCATCACACAGCACACCCGAGCATGTAACACCATGCCTGAATATTGTAAAAAAAGACCCCGCTAAAAAAAAGCCTACCTAACCTACCCAAACTTTTCAGCCATGGTCGGGTGAGGCAACAATTTTTTTTTAATTTGGGGCCTAGGTGCATACAATCACAAGAGATACTGGCCGTAAGCGTCGGTGAAAGCCATCGTTGGAGGCAATTCCACCATGACGATGCTCTTCACGTCGCGCTGCCAGCGGGTGACCGACGCACGGTGTACACAGTTGTCCCGCGACGACGTCGTACAGCCATCGCACGCCGCTCTGCCCAGCACGTCAGCGCCCGCCGCATGTCCCGCCGCCGGCCAGCGCCACCAGCGCCCCATGACCGTCGATCCGTTCACGTTAACCCGCGGCAAACACAACACGATTCAACGCCAGTCTGACGAAATTAACCACTGGCCCGGTATCGCAGTCGCCGCGTAAATTTTTCGTGGGAGCCAACGAAACTGGCTAATGAAAACAAGCCCGATGGGCCAGGTGAAAAAAAAAAAAGGAGTAAATGATATATAATTAAGTTGATAATTTCAGCCTTCTTATTATGGTGATGATCAGTCTGAGAATTTACCGAATATGCCCGAGTTTTTGCTATGAAAATTAACCGATATTTACGAATAGGCATACATAATTCCACGATCTTAAGTAGGGGAAGCTAACTAGTCAAACACATGGTGTTTGTCGCCCCGCTAGAATTCGCAAAACTTCCGGTTGTCCAGTCCGGTCGTTTCTCTTTTCATTAATATTGCATGGTCATTGATTCGGCCTGTTAAAACCTAGTGTGGGCCAGTGAATATATACAGTTCTACAGGCCCCGCTGGGCCAATGAGGGTGGAGTTTTTCAGTGCAGATCTGCCAACGGCCCACCAGCGTCCCATGCCACTTGTTCAGTCCCTTGAATGATTACACACAGTGACGGCATCAGCGGTGTCAACACCGCGCACCGAAACGTTTTGAATTGGCAATGAAGAATGAGATCGGTGAGGCATTGCGTCTGCAAAACAAGTGTACGCATCAGTGGCTGGTGCACTGCATCCCAACTCTCCCTCCATCACAGACCCAACTCTCCCTCCTCACAGAGCCCCAACTCTCCACTCCCCTCACAGAACCCACTTCTCCCTCCCTCACAGACAAAACTCTCACCTCCCTCCAGACCCAACTCTTCATCCCTCACAGACCAGGTCTCCCTCCCTCACAGACCCAATCTCCTCCCTCACAGACCCAACTCTCCCTCCCTCACAGACCAGTCTCCCTCCCTCACAGACCCAACTCTTCCTCCTCATAGACCCAACTTCTCCCTCCCTCACAGACCAACTCTCCTCCCCTCACCAGACCCACTCTCCCTCCCTCACAGACCCAACTATCCTCCCTCACAGACCCACTCTCCCCTTCCATCACAGACCCAACTCTCCCTCCCTCACAGACCCAACTCTGCCTCCCCTCACAGACCCAACTGCTCCCTCCCTCAAGACCCAACCATTCCCACTCACAGACCCACTCGCCCTCCCTCACAGACCCAAACTCTCCCTCCATCACAGACCACACTCTCCCTCCCTCCACAAGACCCAACTCTCCCTCCCTCACAGACCCAACTCTCCCTCCTCACAGCACCCCAACATCTCCCTCCCTACACAGACCAAACTCTCCCTCCATCACAGACCCAACTCTTCCTCCCCTCACAGACAAACTCTCCCTCCCTCACAGACCCAACTCTCCCTCCCTCACAGACCCAACTCTCCCTCCCTCACAGACCCAACTCTCCCTCCCTCACAGACCCAACTCTCCCTCCCTCACAGACCCAACTCTCCCTCCCCTCACAGACCCAACTCTCCCTCCACCACAGATACGGCTGCCTCATGCCCCCTCTCGCATTGCACTTGTTTCATTTTGTTGTCGTTCACCTTTCTCACTCAAATCACTGCGCGACAGAGGGCGCCACTCACCGCTCCTCGGCGATGACGTGCTGCAGGCGCGGAATCATCTGCTGCTCGCCGAGAGGGCCGAAGCGGAAGCGGGTGCATCGCGACTGCAGGGCGGGGATGATCTTCGACAGATAGTTGCAGATGATGCAGAACCTCGTGTTCTCCGTGTACTTCTCTATCACTGCAGCACAGGCACAACGACAACTCAACTTGAGGCCGGCGGTAGACTGTTTGAAAACTAACTCCAGCAGAACCGACACGGTTATCGGTTAACGACCGACCAACGCTGGCGGCTCGCAATTCTGATTCTGACGAGCAAGATTGGTCGATCATCAACTGAACTTTGATAACTCGGATACTTTGATGACGTCTGACAGATACTCTGCTCCAGAGTTCAGTATCACAACACGTAGACCGACAAGATATTTAAGATAGTTGCTCTCTGTCACCGATCAAGTGCTGCCCACTCTTGCAATGAGATCATACTTTTAATTAGGGGTGTAACGATTCACAGATGCATCACTGAATTACAATTAAATGAGCCATGACACGATAATCGATGTGTAGCGTCCGTATCGTGAATAAAAAACAAACAATACAAGCGTTAACGTTTAAACACTTAACAGTAAATCAGGTATGCTAAACTATTTAATCAAAAACACAATTCCATTTTAATGGAGTTTATATTATCTTATGAACTCGAATTCTCAGTGCCACGTAAATATCCTGTCGTTGAAATATGGGTCAATATATCTGGCGCGCTTTTTTTGCTGCCAAAATTGTTAACTTAAAACGATCAAGACTCTCAATTGGTGGGCATCATTACTGCAAACAACCTGTAGTACTGGGTATAGTGAGCTAATCTTTTGAATGGAGCTGTCGATTACAGGTCAGTCTTTAGCACACTTAGACCTTTTCAGTGTGCTTAAGCCATAGAAGTATAGATCGTAATTAATGGTTTACTAAATATTTCTCTGGCTTCAACATGCTCATAAGATGCTCATGTTATGAAGGTATTGGAGTACATGTTATTATATAACAATGGAATTTGACCATCGATGTGAACTTCAAATTACATTATTAATTAATTCAAGAGGTAACACATTATTTCCTACACAGCATGACAAATATATCATAGCATATAATTTACAATATCTCTATTTCTGTCTATGTATCACAACAAGTTTATCGTGATCTGCATAGCAAGATACGTATTGTATCATGACGCTAGTGTATTGCTACATATTTACTTTTAATACAAGTAGAAACCCATGAAATGCTGGAGTCACCCTGCATTCTTATCGATTGCAATATGCTAATTAATACAAGTACTAGTGGTTGCCATGGTGACATACCTCTCCTCAGTGCATTCTGTGCATCTTTCGTCATGGAATCTGCCTCGTCTAGTATAACCAGTTTGAAGCCTCGTCTGAAACGTGATGATAGGTTAGCAAGTGCTTATGTCTCACCCACCATGATCAGGTAGTGTGAATACGACATCAATGAGTCATGTAGCACGCAGGATAGATGCATTTATACTTCATCAGGGAAATATTTAATAAGTTAAATCACTATATCTAATTTGGTTATGCTATGAGTGTTTTTATACATATTTCACATGATGACAGTATCGACAAGACAAACTACTGCGCAAGAGGTAAGAATGGAGAGCTACATGTACAACCCTAGCGCCATTTTTGATCATTTCCACGCATCCTTTATCATGTAGATGCGTGACACGATTCAATCTTCCAGATGGCACTGACCAAGCCTTACTTAAAGATAGTCCGTGTGCTGGCAAAGCTGAGCACCTGACCTCTGACTATCCCGATTCCTCGGTCGTCGGATGCGTTTAGCTGGAAAGAGAGACAGTACTAAGTTTCCCTCAGCGCATCTTGGAATAAACATCAATTGACAGAGACATGATTCTGGTGAGACATTTTCAGTACCTCAAGCACCATGGAGTTGAATTCCTTCGGCTTATACATCTGTTTTGCACATGCAAGGATCGTGCTGGTCTTGCCTGTTCCGGGAGGTCCGTAAAATAGCAGGTGAGGCAGTCGCTCTTCTGCTACAAACTTACTGACTGCAAGATAATGAAGAGTATTATAGCCTTTAGGCAATGTGCCACAGCACAGACATGGACACGGTTAGTACCGCAATTAGGCTGTGTAGCTAGTAGGCCGACCAGGCTTTACGACTGTTTCATGTCACAGGCACTTGAAGCATATCAAC